TCATTGCCTTGGATTGTGATTTGGTTACTTGTTTGCATAATGGAAAGATTATGTCTTCTTTTTAGGGTTGTTAGGGGTCTTAAAAGAAAAACGCTTTGCAAAATATCCATTAAATAATGCATGGTCTTTAAATCACACTCCCTTTCTGGTATACTTCTGTTCTAGAATTCAAAGAGCCTATAGCAAGTAATACCATCCATCAAGGAAAAAAAATATTTCATTAAAATATACCTTGAAAATTGCATATTTTATGCCATGTTTGATAAAAAAAATAAAAATTGTATATCCTTCTTTAAAGTTATTAAATGTCACTTGAAATTTTAAAGCATTAACTATCAGGACAAAAAAAAAAGTACGTGGAGTAGCTACGTACTTATGCTAATGCTTTTCAAATTTATTGCACAGCCCTATCTCCTGGAAATCACTGGAATAAAAGCCAAATCTGTCACATAATTTTCATTGTGAGAATGTGTCTGCTAGGATGTGAAAGTCGTTGTTTACATAATTTAATATTCTACATTCTAATCAATCACTTATAGTTCATGAAGAGTTGAAAATTGTAAAATCTGAAGATTACATATTCAAGGCCTTTGACCTTGCTGAAAAGCTATAGATGAGAGTCAATTAGCCATAACTAACAGTCCTAAATTCATTGCTTCAGTTGGTTATTATTTTTGAGCCTCATTACGCACATCTGACAATCAGAAGCACTTACACAAGCCTCTCTTGGCTCTCTTGTGAGAATAGATAGGGGAAAGGGTTTTGTACTCCCAGGTGAAGAGAAAGAGAGCTTTAGATATAATAGATCTGTAAGAGCAGTTTGCTTTTCTTGGAAGAAGATTGACAGTGGGGTTGTGTGTGCATAAATTTGATTAACAAAGATCATTTATCAAATAACTTATTTTGCAACTACAGTTGCATGGAGCTGTTAGTCTCAAAGAATGTACTCCACCCTCACTGAAGTTTCACATGAAATACTCCAGTAAGTTCAGAAATATAGATACATTTTACCCGTGATGAAAGTGCCAGTGATCACAACACTTCTTGGCTTTTTCACCAGCACCTGATGCCTTTGTACTGAAGAAGTCAAGTCATTAACCAACTCTTAGTACTGAAATTATTTACTGTTCTTCTTTTATATTTGAAATGCTGTAACCTAGGAATATTAGAGTTGGCACTCTTTTATTTTAGTTGAGTTGAGAAGTTTGGCACTTTATTGTGTTTGAGATATTTAAGGGGATTGAAGAAATGTTGAAGAATTAAGTTTTCCATTTTCTAAGTGCTTATACACTCACCTGATCTTACATAACAAAGGTAAAAAGAGGCAAACAGTGAAAATTTTCTTTCCTGTCAGTTTCCCTCTCTAGAGCAAACCACTGTCACCCGTTTATTTTGCTTAATGGCAGGGATACTATAATTTGGGAAATCTAGAATCCTAAATCATATCAGCAGAGAAAGAGTTCAAGCATCAGGCATATTGGTTATCAGTGAGCTACTAATGAAAGTCGAGATATACTAAAATTATGGAAAAATTAAGAATGATCTTAGTGGAGCAAATGCTAGAACCTATCAACTATGCAGATAGTAATTCCACACACAGATTTCTAGAATAAACCTGTTTGACGAGCTTGTTCTCAGAGCAGCTAAGGTAAACCCCCCCAAAACTAAGACTGATGTAAAAGAAATTTGAAACTCAGACTTTCTAAAGATACAGTTCAGGAAATTTAAAGGACTGGCATTTGGTAGGTGAGAAAAGGAAGAAGAAAGGAGAAAAGAGTAGAAAGGAGAAGGATCAAAGGAGAGACGAAACAAGTGCAATGCTTGCTCACAAGGCAGCGAGTCAGTCATACCTGAGTTTCTCTTTCTGTTCCTATATTTACTTTTCATGTGGCTGGGTAAACCTACAGCGCTTTAACTGGTAAAATAGTAACTTAATTAAAGAGTGTGATTCATAAGATACAAAGTGTCTCTATATGATCAGGATATGGTTTATCTTTTCCATTGACAAATATTAATTTGGTTGATAAGACAATTTTCAAACTCTGAACGACTGAGATTCTTTTTAAAGATTATCCCTATGGCTCATATAATGGGAAAAATTCTGTTTGCTTTAAATTTGAAATAAGAAAATTCATATCTGTACAACCCATAAAGAAAAGATGGGGACATTGGTCCAAATCAGTCCAAGAGTTAAAGTTGAATTGCTTTTGTTCAGGATCAAAATTTAAAAATATTAAAAATAAGTTCTTTATACTTCATCAGAGAAACTTCAGCATGTAAGATACATACCATTTCTATAATATCTTAATGAGAGCGCTTCTAAATATTTTAACTTGGATGTTTTCCCAAGATGTATTGATGAATGCTCACTTTGTCTTTAGTGGTATAGTTGTTGAGCCTGTAAATCTACCTGTTAGGGGCTTTAGTTATAGATCCTGTAGATGCATTCAGTGTTCCCTCACCCCTTTTTCAAAGTGCTTACTCGATTAGCTCTTGTTTCCTACCCATAAGGACAGAGAGAGTCAAAGACTGCATCCTAATAGAATGGCACTGGCTACCAGTATGTCTTATGTAAGCCACGTGATTTACAGGTGTTTTAGGTTCCTAAGCAGTTTGAAGAAATAAGAGCAAAGGTAAGTCTTATTAGGGATACTTATTGCCACTCTTAAAATTTTACTCTAGATCCAAGTTTCAGACAAGCATGAGCACTATTTGCGTCCTTGAACTTGAATCTTTTTTGGGTAATGCCCAGCACTATTTTAATGACTCATTTTGAGGTGTGCCAGATGACAGGTAAATGTTTCAGTACTAAGCAAATACCATTAAATGTCTCAGTACTAAACAAATACTATTCAATTAAATACATTGAAAAGAAGTTTATGCAAGCAAGATAGAGGGAATTACAGCACAGGTTTCATAGACTCTGATAAAATCTAAGCTATTTGTCATAGCCTTCAAAGCCTTGTAAGTATGTGTGAGAGACTGAACTAATTATTTGGGCTTTTGTATAATGAGTTTGGTAGTAAACTCCCTTGTTCACCATTTGACATGCTTTCATCTTGCATTTCTTTATTTTAGTTCCATGAAATTTAAAAATAAAATGTAAAGGTATTTTCTACCTTATTTATTTATAGATTAATCAGTATCTAATGGCTTCATATTTCTAAATTAATAATCACATAATTTATTAATGCTCATAGCAATCTCTTGTTTAATGATTCATTCTTTTCCCTTCTTCATTTATAAATTCTGACTCTGATATTAGTAGGAAGATAATCGTGGTCAGTATGTAACTTGGTTCTTAGTTTCAGAAGTATTTCAGAAATGTGTGCATAGTGCTTACTTATGTTTACATCAGATTTTAATATTGTCAGATGTACTATGTTAAATTCATTATTACATACTTAGGTCAAAGAGCTATTCACATTTTTAAACTTCATAAAGATTGTTTAACTCTACTGTATTATTTTTTTAAATAACACATCCATTGGACTGCAAATTTCTTTCACAGATAATTGAAGGTAATTGGTCCCTAAGATATTTTTGAACAGAAAATAAATTCACATTCTTATTGGATATGATCTTTCCTATCGCAGTTATACAGAGATTAAGAAATGTGTTTATGTTGACTGGTCATAAGAAGTGGTGCTGAGACACACGGAAGATGTGTCTTTAGCACCTCTTCACTTTCTACTACCTGAGACTTAATTCACCTGTCCCACTCCAGCAATGATTCTACACTCTCAGAGGTGTTTTCTATGATATAGTTTGTAAGTATTTAGCTGTCTGCTTCACTTCATAGAAAAAATTATAAGGAACAAGGTAAAAAAAAAACTCATGTTCCAACTCATGTTGCCTCTTTATAGTGACATCTGCTGGGCAGTAGCCCTCAGTGATTTTTAAGCAAGTGCAGGCTCACTTTGTGGAGGTCAAAGCTTATTTCTTCCTCTGTTCAAATATCCAGTTTATTGTAGCCCAGATAAATAATTTTCATATAAACATCAACATGAGTTCCAAGCTTAGCTATAAGTAGAGTTGGCAGTATACCCGGTCCCCCGTGTCTAGACTTGTAAGCCTCTATCTGTTGGAATAATTCTGAACAACCTCCCTCCACAAAACTGTAAAATAATTTCTTGTAATTATGTTTTTAGGAGTATCCTGGACGGAAGGATACTGGATAGAGATCAGGTTGAGAGGTCAACAGAATCACTGTATTCGACACATGCAGGAAACGCAATAGGAAACAATACCCATTAAAAGGATAACCTCCTGCGCCAAGACTGTTGGTTTATCTTGACCGGTTTTAGAAAATTTGCTCCAGGAAAAGGACAAGATTTCATGCCCTTTTAAAAACGCATCTCTTTGCCTTAAAAGGATGTAGCACTCTTCCTCTGGCAAAACGCTGCTTTGCACTTTGATATTTACAGCCAAGCAAAGCCAGTGTCGCCTTCCAAGAGCAGCCGGTAACAAACAAAACCTTGGAGCGCACCCTGCAAGTTGCTCACTCCAACACCGGCTGCGAAAGAAGCGAGTAGTTCAGCTGGTCTCCTGGCCGGCTGCAGCGCGTTCCTGCCTCTCCAGGGCCAGGAGCCCCGGGGGTCGGCCCCGCCCGCCGGCCGGCTCAGGGCTGGCTGCCACGCTCTGCCGGCGCGCTCTGGGTGGGGCCTCGTGGCCGGAGCGCAGCGGTCGGGTGTGCAGGGCTGGTGATGCGAGCCGGCTGGGCGGCGCGCCGGGACAGCCCGAGACGCGCGCCGCGTAGCTGTAATCGGACACCCGAGCGTTCGCCCCCAGCGCCCGACCACTTTCCATTCACTCCGAGGTGCTGGATTGAGCGACGCGGAGAAGGGCTCCGGGTGCCTCGGCCCCGCAGTGCTGGGGATTCCTTTACAAAGAAACTCTGAGGACCGGGAAGAAAGAATTTCACCGCTGGGACGCTCTGGAAATTAAGGTCTTCGGGGAAAAGGACTGGAGACGCGCGGATCGAAACCAGTAGCAAATTGATGACTTTTCCGTGCTGATCTCTTCCCACTTCGGTGAGCTGAAGTCGTTCTTTTAAGTATTCGCATGATATATTAGGCAAAATGTAGCATTTGAATCTGTGTGTTGACTTTCCACGCATCCGTATGCTCAAGATTGGACATTTTCTTAAGGGCACATGTGGTTTGTCAGGGAAGTGTCTCCTTTGCTTAAGTTGTTTCTTTTGGTTATGACACCTGCGGACAGATTAAAGTTGAGTATTTCATTATCTTCTAAGGCAAAGTGCTCTAGAGGACAAACGATTTCTTCTCTTACATGTTGTCAATATTTGATCAGAAGTGGAAGCAACAATCAGCACGTCTGTCTGAGTTTCAAAGGGAAGAAGTTTTAAAATATGGGGGTGGGGGAGGTATGTGTGAGACACTTGGCTTGAAGTCACTTCTCATTTCTAGGTAGACTTGAAATCATGTTACTTTGTATGCTCGCTTCATTTCACCTGTCATTTCATCTTCTATATTATTCTTCGTAATTTGTGGCAAATGTCTTAATAGTGGAGACATGTCAAAGATAAGATAGTGATAATAACAATATGCAAAAATGTGTAAATATTATCTGCCTGCTTAATAAGGAGACAAAGTTTAGACAGGTATATGCGTAGCTTTTTTGGGGGTGGGAGGGAAAGTGGGGTCTTTAACTGTAAGGACAACAAAACCAGGGAGCAAATTACTAAGGGCAAGTCACCCCATAAAATCAATTTTCTTCCAAGTTAATTTAGGGATGACAGGGTGAAGAGGTTGTGGAAGCAGGAAGAAACTATTTCTTTTGAAAATTAACAACGCAAACATCTCTAGGGTTTCTTCCATCTGTGTGGTAAAAGAAACAATTTTGTGTTTTACTCTCATGACATATGTACTATCTAAGAAGTCAACTTAAAATTTTTGTTTAAAATGGTGTGCTTGATTGAATTGTTCTTTTTTCTGTATTTTTGAGGTGCAGTCTTTTACATTTTTAGTGTTTTTTTAAATCGAATAAAAATTAGTGATACTGTTTTAATTGTAGAAACTTTGGTGTACCCTCTGAAAAGAAAATTTTAAATTAAACTCTGTCATGCCATTTTATTGTATGATTATGCTAGTCCCAAATTGATGAGATTTTTTAACATGGTCCTAGAGTTATTTTGCATATCATTGCCACCAGATAACCCACAGGTTTTTCTTTGCACATTACCTGATCTTCTTTGCTATTCAGACCTTAGCTAATAGCATGTATCAGTTTTATAGCTACATTCTGAAACAGTAACACTTGTCTCTCTGATTTATCTTTTGAAATTTTGAAAGCCTGCTTTCAGTTTGATTTATGTAAAATATGCATTGACAGATACATGGTTCATTAGATTGCTCACAACTACTAGGTCATTGGTTTGAATTTGGCAATAGTCCATGGTTACCTCATCTGCATCATTTAACAGCTGCATGGTCATCTGTATAAATTGGCAGATAACTGTTTTGAGTGATCTAAGATTGAACACATGTAAAATGTGTTTGCAGAAACACCATTTTAGAAACAATTACTTTAAAAACCTAAAGTGTATGTAGGTGAATGAGTATATATGAATGTTGCTATGACTGTATTATTCTAGAAAGAGAAGTTTTAATTCACTAACATCTATTGCTACACCATTTTCAAATCATTTCAATGTAACATGATTTTGTTTTCAGGGAAGATCAACTAAAGTATTTTCCTCTGGGAATCAGTAACTTTTTCTTCACTGTATCATTCATTGTTAATAGGCATTATTTTGCAGAAAGATGAAACAGTTTCTCTTTTTTTGCAAAGACATTCAGGCACAGATGAATCAAATCCAAATTTTCACAGTTGAGACCATCATAGCGCCTCCTACAGTTTTTATGACTGTAAAAGTTCAGATAGGTCTTGTGAATTAGGGTACTGATACTCTTGTCTAGATTGCTGGTTTTTGTGAATTTGTTTTGTCCTTCTAAAATTGTGAAATGAAATATAACAAATTTGTTATTTCTATTTTAAAGGAATTTCCCCTTGGATAATAAGTCATAAATCTGAAGAAATGGCATTCCCAGCAATTTGCCTGTTGGTTGGAATATTTGTTTGTTCTATCTGTGTAAAAGGATCTTCTCAGCCCCAAGCAAGAGTTTATTTAACATTTGATGGTAAGAAAGTTGATAAACATTCTAGAAAATATGTTATTTGAAGTTTTTATTTCTTATCTAGATTCAAAAATTAATAAATTTAAGATAGAAAATTTTATCTTAAAATATTTACTAGACTGCTTTTTGTATGACATGGCTATTTTAAATTATTGGTTAATTGACAAAACCCCTCTATTGTGCTTGTTTAAAAATGTTTCACATGTGACCTCCCCTTTTTAACGTTTCTTCTGTTTGCGTTGTATGCATGGGAAGTTTATGAAGACCTCAAAGTGTGTAAGATATTTTTTAATCTTAATATTCATCTGGTTATGTTGAGAAATAGCCCCTATGTGCTAATCTCTATCAGCAGAAAGATCTATACAGGTTTAATTGCTAAAATATTTTTCCTATTAAATTTTGGGCCTTAACCTCAAAAATGTTGTGTCCATATGTTTCTTCTATAGCCACAAGAAGTTGTTGAGGGACACAAAATCTCTTTATTAATTGAAAAGGACCTTAAAGAGTAGTTTGAAGTATGTTTTTGATTGTTACTGTATATACTTGTTCAGGAGTATAGGGAAATGAGTAAGATTTCAAATTTCTACAAACATAAAATGTGTAAGATCCTCTTCGGGGATGGTTTGCCAATATATGCATATATGCATGTATGTACTTCAGACAACTTTACTGATAGATGATGTAGGTAAATCAAGTAACCCATACTAATTAGACATATGTAATAAGAGATGGATCAGAAAGATCATCCTTCCAATCAAGGTCATTCGTATTTTTTATTATTCTTTCAACACACTCTGCATAAACCACAGGTCATAGAGCATTTGTTTCATTTTCTTTTGAGAAGTAGTATACTCTTAGATCTTCTGATAGTTATCTTTTCTTTGAAATGCTGTTATTTTGAATTTCAAACGGCGATATGATTGAGCTATATCAGCCAAGTAACTCTCTCCTCCTTAACTCACCAAGTACTTTCCCCAAGGTCATGATAAGCACTGAAGGAGCCTTATTTTTTTTTAATTTAATTTTATTATTTATTTATTTATTTTTAAAAAAATAAATTTTATTTTTATATTCCCCATACAATTGCAACCCCCCCCTTCTGATCCCAATCCCTCCCCTCCCGCCCCCCAAAAGTGTCTCTGTTTCATAGTTTTTTGTTGATTCTGATTTTCACTTTCTTATAGTTATTCATTTTCCTGGTCCCTTATTTAAGTTTTCTAGATTCCTGCTATGAGTGAGACCATCCGGTATTTTTCTTTTTCTTTTTGGCTTATTTTGCTGAGCATGATCCCTTCCAGCGCCATCCATGTTGCTGCAAATTGCATGTGCTTATCTTTTTTGAATGCTGAGTAATATTCCATGGTGTATATGTACCACATCTTCTTGATCCAGTCATCTATTTTTGGGCATTTGGGTTGTTTCCAAAGCTTAGCTATTGTAAACAGTGCTGCTATAAACATAGGAGTGCAGGTGTTCTTTGGAATTGATGTTTCTGTGTCCTTTGGGTAAATAGCTAGGAGTGGAATTGCTGGATCATATGGAAGCTCTATGTTTAGTAGGTCCAGAAATCTCCACACAGCTCTCCACAGTGGTTGGACCAGTTTGCACTCCCACCACAGTGCAGAAGAGTTCCTTTTTCTCCACACCCTCGCCAACATTTGTTGTTGCTAGTTTTTTTAATATGTGCCATTCTCACTGGTGTAAGATGGTATCTCATGGTGGTTTTGATTTGCATTTCCCTGATGACAAGTGATGTTGAACATTTTTTCATATGCCTGTTGGCCATTTGCATTTCCTCTTCAGAGAAGTTTCTTTTTAGCTCTTCTGCCCATTTTTTGACTGGATTATTTTCTTTGTTGTTGTTGAGTCTCATCAGCTCTTTGCAGATTTTTGTGATCAGTCCTTAGCCTTATTTAGAACTTAAGAGTTGTGTGAGCTTCTAGTTGCTTCCTTAGCTGCTATGCCCACATTCCCCTTAAAACCTTGACTGTCATATTAAATTGTAAAGAAAAGAAAAAAGTAAAATGTTCTTTTTTATTTTTTAATCTTGCATTTTGATTATACTTTTTTCTTTCAAGTTGAGAATTATGAAAACAAATTTTTAAAAAGGGATGAAGGAACAATATGTTTTCCCTCTCATGCTCTATATTTCCTCTCAATGTATAGGAAGATGGAGTAGTTTCATAGATAAGGTAGCTAAATCTGTTTTCTCTTCATTCAAAATCTACCTTCTTTCTTACCCAAACATAGTCCAAAATATGTAAATATTAAAAATAAGTGTGTCACCAGAGATATTTCACAAAACCTACATTTAAAAAATATAATTTGTCTTTCACAAAGGAAATTAAGTAATACAACCTTTTAAAACCAATCTTCAATAATGTTAGAACAATAATTGCTATATAGAGTAACTAGAAATTTATTATGAACTTTTAAAATGCTATACGACTAATATTTTAAGTGCTCTTAAACTCACAGCACATTCTTGCAGAATATTGACTCTAATTTATGACATATGTAGAATACAACATGATAAAATATGCTATTTATCTTAAAGAACTACAATTCCTGATAGTTCAAAATTTCTGAGTTTTAATAGTAATTAATCAAAGAAATACAATATCACTTAATTTGATACTCTTTAAAGAGATATAGCTACAGGGAGAATAAATTTACTGAAATACCACAATTTTTAAATTCACACAAAAATGTCCTAAAATGAACTATATATATAGACAGGATGTTATAGGATAAGTACATCAGACAAAAACATTTGTTAAAATTTATAAATTGTTGTCATTAATTCATAGTCATTTTTCAAAAGATTTCATAGTATATATACTTGAGATACCTGTTCCAGTTTCTTGTTATTTAAAGTTTCTCACTGTTTTTATGATAAATTTACCTGGTATCACACTTGAATAAGTTACTAAATCCCTTTAAGGTAAGTTAGCCTTAGCATCAAATATAGAACTTTCTACAAGGTTGACATATATATGAATGCATATTTGTTTAAATACATGTATATATATATATGTGTGTGTGTTTGTATAATGTTTATATATATATATGTATGTATATATATTATATATTTCCTTCTTGCATTTAAAAAATTTCATTTGACTATTTCCCAGTCAAAAATCAATGGTTGGAATATATTTTGAGGAAATTCAAATAATTTCAGGTTACTTCAGGCAGTCTTTCATATCTTTATATTCCTTCATAATTACTTGCCCCCTGACATCTTTGTCTTGAAATCTTCTCCTACACTGTAAATTAGTCCTCTGCCTGTTCTTTTCTCTGTGGAACTTTAGAAGAATCTCCTCAGTTTTTTTACTCACAATCAAGTTAAGAATTACAGTCAATTTAAAGGTATATGGAAAAAGATATCTCTTCTCCCATGTAAGTTCCATTCCTCCTTCTTGTGATAGATTGATGGAGTGATAACATTTGGGAAACAATGATTTAGGATTTGCTTTCCCTATTGATCTAGTGCAAGGTCAGCCAGATGGTCATCAGTCCTATGGGAGAATGAACTTAAGATGTTATTAATTAGTTGTTACATTTGTGCTAGCTACTTTGCATGTTGAAAGAACTGTGTATTAGATTCTGTACTTTTGTAACATTTATAATTTTCACTTTATTCTAAATAGCTTTTCAAAGAATATAAAGATCATGCAAGTGCTTTTGATATAAGTTGAACTTTCGTTGGAAAAAAACAAAAACCCAGTAGCCTAATTCACATTTCATAGCATTATTGCCATTGTATTTTTTTCCCAGAAAATCTTAAGACTCTATGAGAGTCATAAGGAAAGGACTAGACTACATATTTACAATAGGTAAAACTTTTGTTGTTTGCTAATTTACTAGAGAAAGCATTGTTGAAAAGATTCTCCGTTACCCAATAGAGACTTTAGCTTGTTGTTTTCTACATGACTGGGAATAAATATTATTATAGTCTGATAAAAGACATTAAAAATTGGATATAATTTTAACAAAAGGTTTCTGAGCTTGAGAGAAATAGAGATATTGTCTATATTGGAATAGATATAAATATGATTAATGAGTTTAATCTGTTGAATATTTCTATTTCAAAATAAGGTAGATTATTATAAAAATAAGATTACTTTCTCAGCTAGTAATTCATTTTGTGAATTTAAGATATTCAATTTAGTGACATAAAGTCATTCATAATATTACCTTAGCCTATGTCTGTAGGATCTGTAGTAATGTTTCATTTCTGATGTCAGTAATTTTCATTTATTTGCTTTTATGTTCTATGAATCTATATCATGGCACATTTTCTCCATTTTATTGAATTCTTCAAATCAGCTCTTATTGTCATTGTTTTTTTTTTTCCTATTCTTTTTCTGTCTAACATTTCCTTGATTCACATTCTAAAATCCAATTGTTGCTGCTTTGTGTTTAATATCCTTTTTGTGAAACTTCTTAGAATGGAGTTTTGTCAGTGATATAAGAACTTTGTTCTAATATAACCAGTTATGTTACAAATTTCCATTGAAACATTGCTCTAACAGTGCCCTATGTGTGTCAACAAAGTGTATTTTGATTATCAGTCAGTTAAAAATGGCTCATAACTGCCCCAGCTATTTTTGTCTTATTCATGGCTTATATAGATATGTATTGCAAAGTTTACAAACATTGCGTATTTTTATATAGGTTCCTGTTATAGATCTCCAGTTTAGTTTCTAATTATCAAAGGATATACATCAGAGGCTGTAGTTCTTTGAAAATTGTATTCTGTGTTTTTAGGATACAAAGTTCTATTAATGCCAATTATAGTCTATCAGTTGATAATGCTTTTATATTTTCTATATCCTTACTGATTTCTGTCTACTTAGTCTATCAATTACTGACAGAACAAATTGAATATTCCAACTAAATGGATTTGTCTATTCTCACTTTCATCAATTTCACTTCATGTTTTTGAATTTCTGCTGTTAGGTACTCTCCTATTTAGGAATGTTATGCCTCCTGATGAA